ACCACCTGCAGCGCCTGGTGTAATTCATGCGATAGCTCGTGTCTCTTGCTATCACTCGCTGTGGTGATGCCACCTTGCTGGCGGACGGCAGTGTGTGTGTGTGTGTGTGTGCGCCTTGTCGGCGAACACGATATCTTGTGCCCCCATGCTATCACTCGCTATGGTCATGCCGCCTTGCTGGCGGAGGAGAATTTGTGTACGTGTGTCTCTGTGTGTGTGTGTGTGTGTGTTCGTGTGTGTGTGTGTGCGTGTGTGTGTGCAGGTCCTGTTTCCCTGTACCTGCTCCCGCACACCGGCACCCGCCAGTCGTCGCAGACGGCAAGTTCGGCACGTCCTGAGTGCCGCGCCTCTTGGCTCAGCGGTACTCGTCTCCTGGACTGGTGGCACCATGAACCACTACGGCCCGAACTCCCTCCTGATACCTGGACGGCGGCACCACGTTGCACTTCGTCTCGTATCGTCCTCTCGTCTTCCCTGATTCCTGATGCAGCTTGGTTGAAAGGCGCGTCATCTCCCGCCGCTGACCCGAGGCTGGTGTTAAACAAACGTTGGCGACAATAACTCCTACGGTAGCATGTTGCCCTTCTCCGGTACTTCGCCACCGGGCTCCTGCCGAAGGCGTCCCTTTGCAAGCACTTCGGCTTCGGCACCGCCTGTATCCGAGGCTATGCCTCCTCTCGGCCTCGCTCTGAGGCTCCGCCGCTTTTTCCTTCCTCTTCTCTGCTTAATCCAAGCTTCGCGCGGCCCGCTTAGCTTCGACCGGAAGAGGTGCGCTCTCGACCCACGGATCAAAAAGTGTGTGTGTGTGCGTGAGTGTGTGTGTGTGTGTGTGTGTGTGTAAATGTGTGTCCGTGTGTATGTGTGCGTGTGTACGTGTGTGTGTGTGTGTGTGTGTATGTGTGTGTTTGTGGTTTGAGAGCTTAGTCGCGCGCGCGCGCGTTGCTGCTTTTCGACCTTCTACGTCGTGTCGTTGCGCGCAGGGCCGCGACGCCCAAACAAGGGTGTGTGTGTGTGTGTGTGCATGTGAAAATGTGTGCCCGCGCGTGTGCGTGTGTATCGGCCATTCTCCCCTTCTGTAGAACAAATCCGGGGTCATTTATGCAAACAACACATCCGAATGGGGGAGGCCGGAGTTCGCTCGAGAGTCTCGAGTCCTCGGCGGCGCCTTGACTCAGGGGGCGACCGCGGGAGCTCCGATCCGTCTTCCTTCCGTTTCCCCTCCTGCGCACATGTGGCACGAGGTAGTTCAGCTAGAGATTTAGGGTCGCGCTCACGCCCGACTAGCGGGCGCACTTCCTGATGGGTCTCTGGAAATACAGCGGCTGAGCAATGTTACCTTTCTGTGCTTCACGTTTGGTGGGCTCAGATATGTTGGGCTCATCGAGGCTTCCGCCAGTCCGTCGTGATCGGGTGTAATTAAGGGATTATTGTTTCTTTTTGTTCTCTTGGGTACTTTGGGTATTCTTGACTTGCTGTCGGAGGATTGCGGGGTTCACAGAGGCCATATATCCATGTACTTCTCTTTTGAATGGTGTGTGTGCTTATTGTAGGGCGACTCCGCGCCCTGGTGTGCTGCCCCGACCGCACTGTGCGATCGTCAGCCCTGCGACCAAAAAGGTGTGTGTGTTTGTTTGTATGTGTGGTGAGAAGAGAAACCGAGGGTCAGGTTGCATGGGAGGTGCGACGAGAAACAGAGGGTCAGGGAGGTTGAGGGGGAACGGGAAGGAAGGCACGGGGAGGGGGGCGGGGCAGGTTGGGCAAATTTGTGCGGAGCGTGAGAGCAGTGAGTTGGATGGTTTCTCAGGTGCGGTGCTGTGTCTGCGACCAGATCAAGGGCATCCCTCGCTGCGACGCGGCGGAGGTTGAACGCTTCCTCTGCAAGGCCAGGGTGCGCCTTGCAGCGGGCCGCTCGGAATGCAGCACAGGTCGAATGTGTGCGTGTGAATGTGGTCCTGCGTTCTCGCAGCTCGCGCTCTCACCTCTGGCCACTTCGTGATCCTTGTTGTTTCCGTCTGCGGATTTCCTCGCCGCGCGCCGCTTCGAGGATCAGGGGGTGGTGGAAGAGGACGATGGTGATGAGGATGATGATGGTGGCGATGATGAGGATGATGAAGATGATGAGGATAATGATGGTGGATGCAGAGGGTGATGAGGATGAAGAGGATGATGAGGGTGATGAGGATGATGATGGTGATAAGGTTGCTGATGCTGCTGCTGACTATGACGCTGCTGCTAATGCTGACGATGGTAATAATGCTGATGATGATACTGATGATGTTGATGAGGATTCTGATGATGCTGTTACTGACGATGCTGATGATTAGGATGATGCTGCTCATGCTGCTGATGATGATGCTGATGATGATGCTGATGCTGCTGATTATGATGACGATGATGATGACGATGATGACGACGATGATGATGCTGCTGATGTTGATGATGATGATGGTGGTGTTTACGGTGATGTTTTTGATGATGCTGATGCTGATTATGATATGATTATGATTAGTATGATGATGATAAGTATGATGATGCTGCTGCTGATGATGCGGATAATGATGATGATGATGCTGATTATGATGATGATGATGATGATGATGATGATGGTGGTGGCGATGATGAGGATGATGATGAAGATGATGATGATGATGATGATGATGCTGATGATGGTGGTGGTGATGATGATGATGCTGATGCTGATGCTGATGATGATGATGATGCTGATGATGCTGATGATGATGATGATGATGCTGATGCTGATGCTGATGGTGATGATGATGATGATGAAGACGATGCTGATGATGATGATGATGATGATGATGATGATGATGATGCTGATGATGGTGGTGGTGATGATGATGCTGATGCTGATGCTGATGCTGATGATGATGATGATGATATGATGATGATGATGATGATGATGATGATGATGATGATGATGATGATGCTGATGATGACGATGATGATGATGATGATGATGATGATGATGATGCTGATGATGATGATGATGATGATGATGATGCTGATGCTGATGCTGCTGCTGATCATGATGATGATGATGATGATGATGATGATGATGATGCTGATGATGATGATGATGTGATGATGATGATGATGATGATGATGATGATGATGATGATGCTGATGCTGATGCTGATGCTGATGCTGATGATGATGATGATGATGATGATGATGATGATGATGATGATGATGATGCTGATGCTGATGATGATGATGATGATGATGATGATGATGATGATGATGATGATGATGATGATGATGATGATGATGATGATGATGATGATGATGATGATGATGATGATGATGATGATGATGATGATGATGATGATGATGATGATGATGATGATGATCCCGCTCTCCAAGGGCAGTCGGAGCCGAAACGCTCGCGCCCACCGCAACTTCTCACTCACCCACGGGGTCATTGGGCTCCCTCCCCAGGGTTTCCGCGCAGACACCCCAAACTGCATCAGCATAGCGAGTCCTCGTCCCGCCCCGACGCGATGGTCCACAGCCGTCTCACACTGCCCAGCGGCCTTGTCGCTGTGGCGGCCATCGCCTCCAAGTCGTCGTAGGTGAAGAAGAGCTCGCCTTCCACCAGGGGCGGGGGCACGTCCTCCTCGCCCTCCACATCGAACGCCGACCGCTCCACCACCCCGTTGCAGTTAGCAGGCAGGCTGTGGCTGGGGACGTCAGGCTCCAACGCGTCGCTGTCCCGCACTCAGTCGCACGACCTGACAGCTTCGCGGCCGCGATGCCCGCGCCCGCGCGCGGGATGGCCGAGTCGGGCGGGGACTCGTCCAATTTCCGGGCGGGCGGGGCGCCGCCCTCAGCAGGCCGCCGTGCGGCTCGAACCCGAGCTTGTTCAGCATGCTGCGGACCCGCACGAACAGGCCCGTCTCGAATACCTTCTAAAGCGCCTCCCAGCTGCACAGCTGAGCCTCCACCTCCAGGATGTGACGCATCATGCGGGCGTCCAGCATCACCTCGCTCTGCAACTTCTTGTCGACGTGCTCCCCCATGTCGTCCAGCTCGAACCCAAGGGCCTCGGGTTCCTGCTGCTCGTCCCCCGCGCCGTCCCCTGACACGTGGGCCTCCAGCGCGTTCAGCTTGGCGTCGTCGGCGAGCACATCTGCGCGATCGTCGGCGTATGCAGTCGTCTCGGCCTCCTGGCTTGAGAAGCCCAAGTCGGTCAGGAGCACCTCTGCCCGTGCCCACCCTGGCACGTACGGCTGGGCGCCAGACCGCAGCGGCGTCCAGGACGAAGGCGGGTGAAAGGGCGCCGCATCGCGGCGCAGCCCAGGCGCCTGCCGCACTCCCAGCCAGCACCCCTGGCCGCTGAGCTCCAGCGCGGGCTCCGCGACGCAGACCCCCACCTTGATGTCTGGAGCGATGAGCGGCTCGTGCCTCGCCTTGTCGCCGTCGCCCTTGATCTCCATGCCCCAGTGCACGAAGTCCATGTCCACGTCCAGCGTCTTGGCCACCGCGTGCAGCGCATCGCCCAGGCAATGCATGTGGCAGCCAAGGGCGACGTCAGCCCTGTGGTGCAGCAGCAGCGCCTTGCCGAGGCATACGAGGCGATCCTCCAGGGCCGCCGCCAGGGCCTGCGTGGGAGCCAGCTCCGCCACAGCTGCAGTGGCTGCAGCCGCCGCCGTGTCTCCGTCCCGCGCCTGGGCACGCTCCCTGCGCAGCCTGCGCGCCAGCGTGGCCGCCGAGCGTCGGGCCCAGGCCTGCCAACCCAGTGGCCCTGCTCCAGGAGAAGACCCAGGGGGCGCCCGATGGCCCCCCGCAGCCACTAAGTTCGCACCGCCCGCCGGGGGGGGGGTTCGAGCCAGGCTTGAGCCAAAATGGCTTGAGCCAAAGTGGCTACGGATGATGATGATGATGATGATGATGATGATGATGATGATGATGATGATGATGATGATGATGATGATGATGATGATGATGATGCTGATGCTGATGATGATGATGATTATGAT